GGCAGATGTGGCAGTGGAAGGTGTCAAAGCAGCTTGGAGAGAAAAACAAAGTAAAGAACAAAAAAAATGATTTATCGATTATTAAATTAGTCATCGAATATTTTAATAATCGATTAGTCGTCGATTAATCGACTAATCGTGGCAGCCCTACTGTTGATGTGGCTCTTAATGCTCCTGTACTACTATCTGCTGGAGGCTGAGAAGTTGGTGACCAGGATGGTTAAACACCGCTGTGGTGTTGATCAACCAGGAGTGGTTTGATGAGATTTAGGTCCTCAAAGATTCTTAGTGGGGGGACCTTCCTCACACTGTCACCATTGATGCAGTGGTGCAGGAGCAGCCTTACTCTTCCTGTAGTCTATGACCAGATCCTTGCTTTATAGGGTGTTGAGTGAAAGGTTGTTCCTGGAACACCACACTGCCAACCGCTGCACCTCGTCCCTGTATGTCGACTCATCCCACCAGAGTAGTGTCATCGGCATATAGTGTCATCGGTAGAGTGACAGGGGGTACAATCACAGGTGTAGGATGGTGAATAGAAGTGGGCTAGCTGGAGCCAGCCCCGATGTAGTTCAAACAGACGTTTAACTTTTAGTATGGCACTTTTCCCTATCCACTATAGATCTAAATTGTCATCATAGGCATTCTGTTAGAGATTAACTGTTATTTTTATAACGGAAATCTATTTTACCATCATATTACATCGACACATTGCCTTTTCTGCTACAGGAACACCTTTAACACCATCCTGTCTATGCACTCTAATGAAACAACAACACAAAAAAGAAGCTGCGGCAAGTCAAATAAAATAGATGTTGGACAATCTGTTCGAGTTATTTTACATTAATTAGGCAATGAGTCAAAGCACAGCTGATATATTAAACAATCTTTTTTAAATATCTTTTTAGCACCACTGTAGTTTTTATTGAGCATACTTGTTTTGAGTACATCCAAACTGTGCAATACCAAAACAGTTTGTTAGACCAAAAGTCACCATGATAAATCTAGGGCTGCACAATATATCGAAAATTTATTGTCATTGCAATTACAGCCTATGCAACATGCATATCGCAAAAAACTGCATAAACTGCAATAAATGGTCGGCTCAAAAGTTTGCATTTATGAGTTTTGTCACTCAAACGGAAGCTTGACGTATTTCACCAATCAAATGGAGCCCTTCATGTATTTGACCAATTGGATAGATGCTCTGAACCCAGAGCAGGAAGACATCAACACGACGTACTTATGTATTTGTTCATTTATGGCAATTCATATTGTTATTGCAATATTAAGCACTGTTATTGCACACTGCAGGTTTTCCTAATATCATGCAGCCCTAATAAATGCTATGGGCATTAAAAAAAGTGTGTAGTAAAAAGAAAGCCCACTTGCTCTTCTAAAGTTTTACTCAGAATAATACATTGTAAATTATGAGATGGATACCTGAGCCTTTCTGAGAACCTTTCCTCTTCTTTAGTGCTTTCTGAAGGATTTCCTTCATTGTTACCTTCAGACTGTCCACAGGGATTAGAGAGAAACCATGAGCAGCATTTCTAAAAGGAACGAGATGAAAAAACATTAAGGACAGGGATCATTCTGATTTAACATTAATGTAGGGCTTTAGTTCAAAAGTAGAAATCTGACATTAGGTTAATCTCTCTCATGTTTGCACACACCACCAGTCATAATAGTTTTGCAGCATGGACTTATGGAGGCTAAGCCCTTATAATCTAAAGAACCAGGCTGGACAATGGTTAGGGGTGTGGTCCAGTAACCGTTAGGGTTGCCATTTCGATCCCCTATTCCAGCTGTCTCAGTCGTTGTGTCCTTGGGCAAGATAATTTACCCGCCTTGCCTACTGATGGTGGTCAGAGGGTCCGGTGGCGCTGGTGGGGTCCATTTGGACTTGATAAACACTATATAAGTTCAAGTCATTTACCATTTTTATTTCTACACAATAAAACACCAAAGATGATTCATAAGTAAATTAATAGTGTTTATTAAAACTAGACTCTAATAAATGTTATTTAAGATCAAGAATACTCGTTTCTATAAAACACAATCAGTTTAATTGCTAAATAATATTTATATTATATTATATTATAATTAAATCCCTATTACTGTTATTCATTTTAACTTACATTCTGACAAACAGTGACTGTCTAGAAGTGAGGCCTGGTGACGAATACTTTTCCACCAATGCCAAAGTGCTGAAGCCAAACTTGTGGATTGGCTCATTTGAGTCCAGCGGTGGGAAGTCAGTGTCCACCTCACCGTCATCCTCAGCAATGTGGAGGCAGTAGGCATCCACGTTCTCACTGTGGACATGAACATAGGGTCACAAGACAACAGGGTTACACAAGTCATTTTTTGCATAGTGGAAGCCCTAAAAAAAATGTCTGAACACCACATCAGTATGGTTAACCACATTAAGTCAGAAGTATCACAGAGAGACTGGCCTGAAACTCTTCTGGCACCTTTTTTAACCAACTAGAGTCAAGTCTAGATACTTTGCCTGGTGTGTTTGTAGATTTTTATGGGCAGCACATGATAATTATTCAGTAGTCTTCAGGAGAGAGTGAAGCC